GCTGTGTGTGTTTGTGCGTGCGTGTGTGTGTTAACAGCTGTGCCAGCAGCCCCGGTGAATGTATCGGTGACCCAGCTGAGGGCACACTCGGCCATGGTGACCTGGAATGTCCCTCAGGGAGACACCGTCATTGGATACGCCATCTCACAGCAGGTACAATACAGCAGCCTCGTATCATCGCTGCATGCATACACTGAGCATGCACGGCCAATGGACCATGCCTTTTCTTCTTTTTAAACTGAATGTCAAATACATCCTGATGTGCCCTCTCATTCAGCTGAAGGCCGATTAATTTTGCAGGGATCCAAATTATGGATTGAATGCCCAGAAAAGCTGGACCGGTGCCATGCTCGGGGCTGGAACAGCTTTTCAAAGATAAATTATGTATTTCTCGTGCTCATCTCGATCTCACGAGGGTTCACTTCTTTCTCTTTTGTCCTCCTGCTGCTGTCTTCTGGGATTTATTAAAATGCTGCGTCATTCATTAGCCGGGTAGGCAGTCAGCATTCGGCTCAAAGACACTTTGAGTCATGAGGGGTGGGAAAGTTTGGAAACCTCTCAGAGGAATTTGCTCATTAACATTTTACTTCTTAAGGAGCTCATTAATGTCAAGGATGGCTACTGGTTGACGTAGGTAATAATAAAAAACCAAATCTCTTAATTACATAAGGTGCAGCCAAAAGAAGGACTTTCCAAGTATCCAATTAGCAAGAAAAACCTGATTATCGAATTAATCGATCTTTAAATATCCCCCAGGAGGAAAGATCCTGCCGTGGATTTGAGGGGGAAAAGATCGCTCACAAGTAAGACATCCACAGCTGTGCACTGGTGTGTCAGCTCAACTGTGTGAGGTTAACAAAAGTCATATGCTCTGCCTGTGTTTGGGGTAATTTATCATAAATAATTTAGTTGCACAGCTGTTGTGCCATATGCATAACAGTGTGTTAATGCAAAAATGGGCTTTGGAGATCTTCATAAGAAGTTGCAGGTATTTAATTAATTCAGGAAAAAAAGACTCCAACAAATAGCTGAAAGCAACAGACACATTGGTAGCACATGCTTTATTAAAGCCATGAATTCACTCATTACTGCTCTGTCTAGTATTATAGATACTGTGTTCAGCTGTACTTCATACAGCTGTCTGTTTGCCTTTCAGACAGCTGACAGTAGAACAATAGTGTATTTTGTCCTCTTTCTGACCCTAACATCTGGAAGAAGAAATACAGACTGCTATCAGCTTACAGGTGTGGTCTTCTGCTGCTGTTCAGATGCTCTTCTGCATACCTTGATTGTAACAAGTGGTTATTTGAGTTATTGTTGCCTTCCTATCAGCTCAAAGCACACTGGTCATTTTCCTCTGACATCAAAAAAGCATTTTCCCTCAGTGAACTGATGCTCACCGAATAGTTTCTCTTCTTCAGGTCACTAGTAAACACTAGAAATGGTTGTGCAGGAAAATCACAGCAGTTTCTGAAATACTTAAATCATCAACAACATTAACACATTAACACAATCTTCCACATTCTGATGCTCAGTTTGGACTTCACTAGGTCGTCTTAACCATGTCCACTTGTGTAAATACATTGAGTTTCTGCCAGCTGACTGGTTAATTAGATATTTGGATTAATGAGCGGTTGAACAAAATATGATTGTTCAGAATGTATTTCTTTTTCTTCATAAATTCATCGATTCATTGGTTACATTTCATTTAATTAAACGCTGCAGTCCTTCCACGTAGCACCTTTAAAGAACACAACTGTCACCTAAAGTACAAGAAGTTTGCGTCACTGTAAGAGACGTTTCACATTAATTCTGCTGTTACATAACAACATTTTGTCTGTCTGAGATCTCTTAAAAACCTCGGCTGCTAGCTCAGCTTGGCTCATTTTAATCAGTCTTCACCACCTACAGTTTTGGCAAAAGGAGAATGAGACATTAGCTGAGCTCTGAGTGGGTGTCGTCTCCATTAGCGGAAATTATTTGGCCAGGATTCGTCTCACAGGAGAAACATCCACAGCGGTGTCGATGCCAAACAACTCTTATTCTTTCTTTTTGTTTTTTTTTCCCAAGTCACCTCACATCTGAGTCAGAATCCATCAACCTTTTGGCATTTTCAAGAAAACACAGGATCGGGATGTAAAACATCTCCTGCTTTAACCTCAGAAAGCACTTATGTAAAAAACACTTACTCAAATATTAATCGGGGAGGTGATGGTAGCAGGTGGATGCAGCGGGTATCCGTGCTGCAGGTTTTATCTACCGAGCCCGTATTTTCCATTGTTAGTCATCAAAGGTTGCCTTGGATCAGAGTGAGCTGCTACAAAAGGGCAAAAAATGCTGTTATATAAAAGGCTGCTCTGTCAATCAAGTATGTTTTCTACCATTTCTATTTTCCTTATTGCAAGAGTGGTCTCGCATCAGGCTTAAGTCTTGATTAGGATTCAAACGTGGCTGCTTTGTGGGATTATTTCATTCACAGTATCTTTCGGTGACATGCCGAGCCTTCTGTTTGTGAAGGAGAAGCAGGACGAGTGAATGTGCCCAGACAAAGAGTTGCTTCACTCATCTAAAGTTGTTCCAAATCCCACGGTGCTGGCTGCCAAGATGCACGCGTTACACAACCTCGCTCCCAAGCACACAAACACATGAAGTAACCCAGTTTAAGTTTCTGTGTCTGAGACTCCCAGCAGTCCTGGTTTCTATGACTTCAAATATCAAACACACAGGGTTAATTGATGATTAGTACAAGGGCAATGCTTATCAAATAAAACCTGCAGAGAGTGCCTGTTTTAAACTTGTGTTGTGATGTTTGTACCAGAAGAAGATTGTCAGACTGTGACAACATCAGAGGAGAGATTTGTTTTTCTGCACCACTTTCCTTCTGAAATGCATTAGGCTGCTGCTGACTTCTTTCCTGACCTAAAAATAGCGATGCACCCAAACTTTGTGTTCACCTGCAGACTTCACGGTCACATTTTACTGAAGTAAAGGTGCCTTCTGTTCCTTTTTAAAGTGTCTGAAGCTGAACCCTGACAAATCAAACTTTAAGACTGCTGCCAAAATTAAAAGAGAGCTCAAAGCCCCCTGCAAGAACAAGAAAATATTTACTTCAATTGTCAAATGTAGAGAACTTCCAAGAGCACACATTAGGACTTAAGAGGGTTTGTAGCAGCCAGTTGTTGATAATCAAATCCATTTGATAAACTGATCATTAGTGAGTGTGAGCACCTCTATAAAAGCAGACATTTGGGCAGTTTGCTGGTCTTCAGAAATCACAATGCCACAGTCTTTCAAGACGTAGACGTCCCAGCAAATTCACCCCAAAATCAGACTGTGCAATGCTCAGAGAAACTGCAAAAAGAGCTACACCACACTTCATGACAGTACAATTAGAAAGAAACAGAAAAAGTATGGCTTCTTTGGAAGAGCTTCCAGGAGAAAGCCTCTTTGCTCTTAACAACCCACAAAATCCCTGGAATGAGGCTAAAGTTTGTTATTATGTTTGCTCATAATGCACAAAACCAAACGCCACGTATCACCACAAACACCTCATACCCGCTGTCAGCATAGAGGTGGAGGCGTAATGATTTGGGCAAGTTACAATCATTGAGTCAATCATGAACTCCCCTGCATACCTAAGTACTCTAGAGACATCTGTTAGGCAGTTAAAGTGTGGATCAAAGTAATGACCACCTCTAAGTGCAGACCTCGACCTGATTGAAATGCTGTGGCTTGGCAAAAGAGAGCTGTGCATAAATAAATGCCCTCAAACCCTCAATGAACCGAAGCACCGCTGGACAGGAGAGCAGACCCAAAGTCCTCTACGATGTGAGAGACTGATATGACATACAGAAATGTATTGTTTCAAGTTGTCGCTGATCCCAAGGTGGTTCTACAAACTACTGAATTATGCATAGTTTAAAAATCCTATTTTTTCCATCCTGTAAATGGATGCAGGGATTATAAAACACTCATGAAATCAACTAAAACCAGAGAGTCTGTCAATGTAGAACGTTTGTTTTACCTACCTTGAAAATATAAAGACTGACTCTCAGCAGGCACCTCAAACCTGCAGGCTTTACTTTCTTCTGTCATCAAACAGTATAAAACGCTCATCATCAAATGCTCTTTTGCTTGTTAGGAATTAGAAAAAATCTGTTTTCCCATGGGTATTCCTATGTTAACTACAATTAGAAAATATATATAAAGATGACCAGCTTTTTTAAAAGCGGTTATCTATTTTGGAGCCGACCTTTGTGGCACAAAAATATAAAGGAAAAAGGGGTGGCTCAAGACTTTTGCACAGACCTTTAGATGGCTGTGACAAGTGTCCATTAGTTTTGATTTCCTGGTTTACTGTCTTACTTAAAACTGCAGAATTAAATGTGCCTATGAGATAAACTGACAAAACCTGAAAATTAGAAAGTATCTTGAGTTACGTCAGCGGCACTTTTCAAAATTAGATGGTTTTGGAGTTTTTATTCCAAAATGGTAATGCCTCCATCACAGCTGAGTCACTGGTGCTGATTAACGATCCTTTTAACCCCCGTTGATTCAGTATATACTTTTATATGACGGCCTTTTAGATCAAAGTGTCCTGGCTGACTCGCTGCCTGCAGGGCTGCCAGAGGAGCAGCAAACACCACTTTGACTCTCCACTCGAGACATCTGGAGAGCCTCGAGCGTCCTGACAGCTTTCTATTTATTGACTCTTCCTCAGCCTTCAGTGCTCCACAGGCACGTTCGCAATCTGGGAAACTTTCTCAAACTGGACTAGCTGTCGCTAGATGATGCTTACCAAGCAGTTGTTAAAAAATCCTCATTATGAGCTGTTCTGATGCCGAGCTGGTGGTTTTTTAGAATATTTGGTGTAATTGGTGTGTAATGGCCGGAAATGACAATAACGAAAAGCTTGAATATATTATGAGCCATTTTCTACAATCTCAAAAACAAGAATGCAGGCTGGTGCTTTTGTGTGAACACCAATTATCTCTGAGCAGCGCTCATCAGGATGTCTGCAGTTAAAAAGAAGACAGTTAAAGGTTCCTTCATACAGAGTCTCCAATCAGAGCAATTAAAGTCTCGTGCAAGTCTTGTGTTGTCGGGAAAACTTAGCCACACAAAAACATTTCTTTTTTTTTCCATATTTGTCACGCTAAACAAGATAAATACAGAATGCAGTTTTTAAATTATAATTTTGATTATTAGGAGAAGAAAAATTTACCCAAACTTACCTGGGCCTGTGTGAAAGAGTAATTGCCCCCTTAGTGTTTCTTCTTCACTTGATTTTTTCCCCACTTGCTATGTGTTTATACACCTCTCTGCATTTAATCATTAGTTATTATTAATCTCTGTCTCTTCTCCACAACATGTTTTCGTCTTTTTTTTCCCCCTTAACCCCAATTAGTTGTGACAAATGGCCTTCCCTCACTGAGCCTGGTTCTGGCAGAGGTTTCTTCCTGTTAAAAGGGAGTTTTTTCATCCCCATTCTCGCCAAGCCTGTACGGGGACTGATTGTCGTGTTTTCTCTGTTTTCTTTGTATTATTGTAGGATGTCTACTTTACAATATAAAGCACATTGAGGCAACTGCTGTTGTGATTTAGCACCAAATAAATAAAACTGAATTGAATTTAAATTAATTAAATTAACTCTAATAACTAGCTGTGCCACACTTGACCGCAAGAACTGCAATCAAGCGTTGCCACATGTGCAGTTTTATCAAGATCACCACTCTTAAAGGCTAAAATCAGGTCTCATTGTGTTGGCTTAGCAATTCCAGACACACAAACACAAATGCAAATTATGCTGGAAACTCTTAGCTTGTTTTCTGTGTCCGAGGGGGAATGAAGAACCAAAATGCATCTTAACTGCTGTTACCATGGTGCCACGTTAAGTGGAAGCCTTGTGTTTTCTGTTGTTGTTTGTTTTTTGTCATTTTCTTAATTTTACTGAACTACTAGTAAGTTTATTTACTCCATAAATATAGTGCAGATATCTGCCTGGCAGAGAATCCTCTGCAGACATTATTATTATTAACCATCCATTTTCTTCCTCTTATCAATTCAGGGTCCTGGGACTCCACCAGTCTTCATGTTCACATAACATGAAGGATTTGATTTGCAATTGTTACTTTGAATCCACGTGCACAGTGTATTTACATATTACCCTCTGAATCCACAGCTCATTTTAAAGATATGAACTGTAGAGTTTGGTGGGTAACCTTGTGAAAATGTTCTTGCCTCGATTCTCACAGCCCCTCATGGATGTATACTGCTTTGTGTTGTCTTTCCAGTAACTTTGTCTTCTTCTGCAGGCACCTTTTATCACTGGACTTTAAATAAACACGGTGAATGTGATCTTCTCAGTGCTAAAGCAGCTGAAAACTCAGATATTTCCCCAGGGAGCTAAAAGCTAAGAGCTAAAACTGACTAAATTGTGGACTTGAATTAAAGCATGGCTCTAAATTAATAATTATCTTGTTGTGTTTTACCTTCTGATTGCAAAATTGGAGATGATAATATGTCTGTGTTGTATTTACAATTTATAAATCCACCCATCCCCAAATTTTCACTAAATACAGCTGTTAAAAAGTAAAATTTATCTCCACGGGGTCTCCATCTGTTTACCTGCTGATCCAGAAAGTGACATTTCTTCATTAATTCTGCAGCTCCTTATACTAACAGAGCATCTCTGCCTAAACATGTGTTTTTCTGTTTATTTTGAATGACTATTGCTGGTGTTACCTTGCCTGCAGACCTAATTTCTCCCATTGGGGCTGTATGGGTGTGAGGTGAATTTCTATGAGGCAAAGCTGCTTGTTACTGCAGGGATTCTGCTTGCATTTCAAGTATTTGCCTTTAAATGTGACATAATGATGATTTTTTTTTTATTGGTAAATTAGTTTAGCAAAGTTTACTTTAAAAGAAAACAGAAAAGATTCTTCTCCTTTTAAGACAACACTATCTGCCTCGAGCAAAGTACGAGGCCATTACTGCTTTTATTAGATCATAATACTTAAGCTGTCAGCCGGATACGCTGATCAGATCCCGAGATTTGATTTAAATTTGCCGTAAGTGTGGCACATTAATGTCTTTGTGTGTGCAAAAGCATCCACCACATGTATTCCTCATGTGTGCACGTATCCTGTCTCCAGAGGCAGGACGGCCTGATGCAGCGCTCCATACGAGAGGTGAACACGTCCAGCCGCTGGTGTGTGCTGTGGGACCTGGACGAAGACACACACTACAGTGTCCAGGTGAGAGAAAAACACACACACACACACACACACACACACACACACACACACACACACACACACACACACACACACACACACACACACACACACACACA